TGTAAGCTTAAATTATTTTGTGAACACTACCTAAAAATCAATTTACCTATTTTTTTTCTTTCTCTTAAATTTGTTTATTTTATTTCATATATCTTTAATTTGTACTAAATCACCGTTATCAACTCTGTATGTTGTATTTTTGTCCTGTAATTGGAGTATATCTGTTGGGCAATAAAGAAATTATTATTATTATTATAAATCCAAAAATATACTGCAAAAACTAAATGTTTTACCCCTTTTATTAGCATTGTAACCTATGAGCAATTTTAAAAGTGTATTCTGGATGACGTTTTCCCGCAAGCATTCTATTGGTTTAGAGTTACCAGACAACCTTTCTAATAAAACAACCTTGAACTTCACAGACGTCCAAAATCTCGTGTTTTTTTGCATTGAATAAGTAATATACCATTTAGAATATTAGTATATAGTATGTAGTATATCAATACCGATAAATAAATACTTGACCATTCATTGTTCAAATGGCATTTTCCAAAACGATTTGACGAATTACCGTTGTATTTCATATAATGAGAAATTTTCAATATGTAATAAACTATCACGTAGCCCTTTCCAGCCACTGCTGTAAACTGCATGACAGATTTATTTCTCTTGGAATGAACAGGTTGAATTCACACAAATAGGGCGGGCTGCAGGCTAACATAAATCAAGCCACACTACCAGTCACCAAACCGAAATAAGTACCACGCACATATTACAACGGATACAAGCTTAGCTTTTCCATCAACATTAAATTGCTAAAAAGCTAAAATTGCTTATGTGTTAATTGGACTTGCGTATTTTTCGTATGAATTGATGGTTTGTTGGATGTCCCAGCTCATAGAATGACAAACATTTAATTTTACAGATTTTCAGTATCTACATATGTTTAGTTAAGGGCTCTAAATTTCAGTGTTAAACATCACAGTAATAGCAAAGGGGAACATACGTCAATTTTTCGTACCTAGTTTTCAAGCTATACAAACTTTGTTGTCAACAATCAATTGTGAAAACAAGTCCAGAAAAAGAGTTCATTCATTTCGCATGGTAAATTAAGAAGAATGGTGTACAAAGACTAGCAGATTCCGCAAACTTCGTACCGCCTTTGAGAATTTTGGTTTCCTATAAAACGCGCGCTGCGCCGCCTTACCTCGCTCATCCGGCGAATTTCATACCGCCTAATCAGTAAATGTTTTCTTGGATAAGATGTACACTCGGTTTCGGAGATTGCAGCGCCTCACCTCGCACACACGACGAGCTAGCAGTATGAGATATACTTTACGACCTATTTTCATATCTAGCAAATATACTACAAACATTTTATAAAAACCGGTCGAGCCATTTCGAAGGAGTTCGAACACAAACATGTATGTGTATGGGACACGCGCTCGGTTTCGGCGGCTGGGCCATCTCACGTCCCTCGCCCGGTGGGCTTCATAGTCTTTGTATCCTGTGAATTGGATCACAACAAACCATTTAGAAATGTTAGATTGGATTTTAGGTTATTTTTTTAATAAAATTATTTCTTTTTCTATTCACTACTCTAGATTGAACTTTAGACGTACTCGTTGCCATTAACAGCGTCAGACAAAGTACCTTGTCACCAATAAAAAGGAACGTTTAAAGGTTGTCTCTCTATTTAAAGGACCCACCACTTCCAACAAAACATAATCTCTTTTTTTATTAATTTTCACATAAACCGCCGATCACAATAAAAGTTAACTAACGCCAGCTTCGACAGAACCCGTCCCGCATCCCCATTTATATCGAGAAACGCGCACATATTTATAAAACACCTGTCAGTTCTTATCAGAACCACATGTGCATTAATTAAATTTCGTCTAAGTGGGTATTACACTGAGCGTTTTACCCATGGGCAAGACGCTGACTTTAAACCCACCGGCAAAACGCTGTTTTTAAATCATGATTACATTTACCGTTTTGCATCTAGACTTAACGTGGTGCTCGATGGTGGGAAAGACACAGCGACACCGCTGTCAGTTTTTGAACAGTTGTCACAATGCATGAACGCGAATATGATGATTTGTTAATGTTATATGGTTTATACAGTATTTTAAAATTACGCAAGAAAAGGAAGAAGAAACGCATATGGGTGCGAAAATTTCTGTCTAAACGTGATAAAGTTTCCCATACCTTACCGTTACCACTATATGAAATTTACATGCACACGTGCAATAAATAAAAGAAAACTAGCGCTACGAATAACCCAAACACGCAGTCAGCTGATTGTAGGTACATGCGCAAAACAGAAAAAGGCGCCGTTTTGCCCACAAAACCTATCACACTTGCCGTCATATCGCAGCGGCAGCGTAAATTATCCAACAAGTCGGATGTTGCTTGGGTTTGACGATGTCGTCTTACCCACTTAGTTTTGCTCGATTACACTTAAAATTTTGCCGGTGGGTTTGAAGTCAGCGTCTTGCCCATGGGTAAAACGCTCAGTGTAATACCCACTTAACAGTAAAACTTCTTATCGCAAACTACCAAATAAAACATTTTATAAAACAAGCAAAATTCGACCAGATGTGTCTTATTTCTAGGATCTTATCTAAATTGAACAATTTACAAAAATGATAATTGAAATAGAAAAAATCACAATTTTTTAAAGGAATCCAATCCTCTCCCATTTGTGAAGAATGGCATTCCGAAGTCTCTTGCAAAAAGTACACAAAATGCATCGTTAATTAGCCGGACCTTCTCCAATCCAGATTGTATCTGAAGGTCCTAGATACGGTAACCTTAGACTAAAATATAAAAAAATAAAATAAAATATAAAAATATAAAGTTATATTTCGAGATGAATGCCTTTAAGTATTGTTATCACTGCGGTATCTACCTCTACAAGGCCGAAAAGGTCAATTACACTCAAAAAAGCAGATTCGTACACAAAGAATTGAAATCGCTAATCTATCCAAATGATTTTAAACAAACAAATGGAAATTATTAACTGGCCAATCTCAAACAAATCAAAAGCATTTACATTGAAAGCAAATAACAGCAAATTCAAGAATCACTTTACCATTGATTATAAACAGCTGAAGGCGACATAATTTACAATATAATTTCAATTACAACTAAGTACATTACCTTTTTGCAAATGCAGAATACAGATGCAGAAAGCAAAGTGACTTCAAACACAAAATGAACCTGCATGAACCGCTAAAAAGCTGACTTGGCAAAGCTAATCAACCCACCATTTCCTTCCTATGACCAAAGATAATACTACAACATTGTTATAAAATGCTGACATCGAAAATTATTACAAATTGTTACAGTAACCCCCATTGTTTCACATGCAAATACTTTCGAACGGTGTCTTTATATACAGTGTGTCCCAGGTAGAACGCAACCATAGGGAAACGGCACTGTATTTTTCGCGAAGGATCCACGAAGCCTTTGAAATTAGCGTTCAACGTACTACTCCAATCTCTGTCTAGCATCAGACAAGCGCAATAACGTACGATCACCGACAAAAATAATGATAATAGGGAACTTACTGCCACTTAGGCAATCAACCATACAGTATATAAAATGGCAACGTTCAAGTGTAACTCTCCGACAGGAATTCGTGTGGGATGAGCCGTACGGCGTCGCGCATTGTCGTCTTTGCTTCGGCGTTTCTTCGTCACTAGCTTGTAGGTATCATTACAAAAATTGGTAAAACCGAATTTTATGCATTACATATTATATTCTGGCAAACTAAAAGAGACAAATTCATATTGGTATCTTCAATCTCGTTTTTCTCTCAATTGAAATAAAAACGGGCTTTTAAGGTTAATTTTGCAAGGCAAGTTCTTACTTTAGTGATCCAATTTTTTTAATTTAGGTTGTTTCCAGCCAAACCGAAAGTCAAAAAATTGGCGCATTCACCAGACGAAGCGCTTCATGAGCGCTACCTAAAGACGGGAATACTCTAGCAAGATTTCTCGCGCGAGTTGCTGTCTGATAACACTGTCGAGGTGTAAAGACCAACGTACGTCTGACTTACTGTGGTGTGTACACTTCACCAGGTAAAACCCTCTAACATACAGGGTGGGTTTTTTTCATTTTAAGCATTGGGATCTTGGAAACCCAGGCGGAAACCATAAGACATACGGATTCGGTTAAATGAGGAAAGAGTTGTCGTTTTAAGAGCTTATTTAAGATATGCTTTTGTTTTTTGAAAAAAACCACAGTTTACTAAATATGAGCGAAAAACAGATTTAGTAATTTTTTATTTAACTGTTGTAGAATCGTTATTATTAGAAATACAACAAAATGACACGAATAAAAGTTTTAGACATTTTAATGCTTAACATGATGAACATACTAATTTACTTTTAGATCTTACAAATTTTGAGTTATAATATAAACTTTAATTTGCTGCGAAATAAAATTTCTATCTGATTAGGAGAATACAAATTCACTACTAAACTTGGATTTATACTCAGTAGCCGGCTAACATTCAACGTGAGGGTCGTAAAGTTCGGTATTCTGCCAGGAAAACTTGCTACTACAAAACTCAAATCTTAAGGGCGCCAGATCTAGCGAGGTAATAAATCCTCTTGATCAAGGAGGATAGGCTCTTCCAAGCATAGCATAATGAAGGTGTAAAAAAACTAGGTATTGTGGCAGAGAGGAATTTAATACGTCTGTATTTCGATTTAAAATTAAATATGATTACCTAGTATGTAACTACAAATTATAATTGTGGTGTGAAGCACGGTAACAATAATAAAGGAAAAAAACTAATAGGATTAATTCGTCCACACCGCAAAAATCAACAGTGTCAACAATATCTTACTACGGTAATTAATACGGGTTCTGGATTCGCTAGCTAGCCCCCGCACCCTGTTTATATTTGGGCCAAATAGAGGTTAGTACAGATAGACCTCCCAACTGAGAACAAAACGAATTTTCCTTCACAGGTAAGTATTATCATGAATGTAATTATTTGTAATTAAATGGTAAGAATTAACTCTTTTGATTTCAGTTTACATAAACCTTGAAGAGGGTTCATCAACTCAAAGCCACAAAAATTGTAAGTATGCAAATACAGGTTAATTATGATTAATTAATTTTTATTCTCCCACTTTATTTCAGAACAAACGCAGATGCAGCAAGGTAAGGTACCAGTAAGTGCCAGATTTTAGGCAGCGGAACAAAAAAAGCTGAAAGTTATGAGATACTCTATATCTAGCTTAAGAGATACCTAATTCTTACCTAGATGTTATAGCTTGCAACTCGTCCGCAATGTTCTAAACTACAAATTACAAAGTTTTAATACTACACTACCTATCAATTATTTATCTTACCTCAAACTTATGACTACCATCCTAATATTCTAACTCGACGTTGTTTCCTAACTATATACACTAATCAAATTCCCAATTGGTATTCTCTGTAAATGATAGCTTTAATAATTTAGAAAAGATGTAATTAAATTTACCTTCAGGCTGCTTCAAATCTGATAAAACAAACTACTTATACTGATTCCCAACTATACCATCAATTCGATCAGCCAACCAGTATCAGATACAGGAGCTAGGAGATAAATCCTGATAAACAGTGAATTCCAATAATTATAATTCTCTATCTCCCTAGCCGCACGAAAAGCTAACCCAATCTCCTCTACCTCGAAAAATATACGTTTTTCCCAAAATTGATATCCCAAGAATTTCCAAGTGGGAAATGACCTTATGATAACTAAATTGTTAAATCTAGTGTTAAATTTGCCTAAAACTATGCAAAATATCATACAGCTCTACCCTGAACTACCCTAACTATCTACTACCTACCCTACACACTATTTCAAATTGCTACAAATTTTTGAAATGGTAGTCATAGTTGGCTTTGACATTTTTAAAAAGGACACTTTTTTCTCGTTATAACGATATAAGGCTTCCTATAAATGTACTTTAATAATTAAACGCTCCGCAGTAATTTTCGTTTTATTGAGATGTAAGTAAACAGAGTTGGCCATGGAAAACAATATCTAGTGAGATAGGTAGGTATCTTTCAATTTCCTTCGAAAATTGGACAGGCCAATGTTATCTTCATTTTCTACCAAATGAATTTCAAAATATTTAGGATAAGTTAGATTTGGAAACACTACGTAATTTACGCTGGTTTCAACACAACGGTGCCCCGCCGCACAACTAACTCCAAGTTAAATATTATGATAAACAGTAATTAAGAGAACAAAAATGTTTCCCATGGCAAAATCTGTTTTTACTACTCTTAATAATAGAAACAATTCTGTATCATATTTATTTGTCAAAGTAGGTACAACGAGCCTTATATCATTATAAACAGAAAAAAATGCACTTTTTAAAAATGTATGATGTATGATTACCTACCATTTAAAAAATGTAAGTTTGTGTTAACTCGAATATTATAAAAGAAGAATAAATATTAATAAATGTATCTTATTAAGCGGGAAAAATCTACAATTTTTGTTCTTTGCATATTTCTGTATTTCTAATACTAACGATTCTACATCTAAATAATTGTAATTATTACGTGTAGGTATGGCGCTAAAGACCCTAGAAGTAGATGCGCCAAATCAATTTAAAAAAAAAATCACTAAATCCGTTTTTCGCTCATCTCTAGTGAACTGTGGATTTTTTTCAAAAAACAAAAGCATATCTTGGATAAGCTCTTAAAACGACAACTCTTTCCTCATTTAACCGAATCTCTATGTCTTACGGTTTCCGAGATCCTAATGCTTAAAATGAAAAAAAAACTCACCCTGTATATCATATTTTTCGGAACTTTCGGAACATATTTTCTCGTTTACAAGAAAAGATACAACATGTGAGGCTGCCAACTAAAACAACATTTGCAAACCGCCAACTACGATGATTGCAATAATTACCTAATATTTTATACCCTGAATTGACACCAGTAATGCTAAATTTGTGAAAAGAGAAAAATGGTTTTTCTATAACAAAGGGATCGTTAATTACACTTTATATTTAAAAAATACATATTTGCGCTGGAAATGAATAAATGATGAATATCGTTTCAAAGCCATTCAATTCTTCCTAAAATAATGTCTTGGGAACATGTAAATACGTTTCCGATAATTTACTTATAGGCTTTTATCTAAAAATCGAAAAATGCATCTTTTGCCTATAACCCAAAAACAAACGACTGTAAGCCAATTTGGTTCTCAAGATCGAGTTTATTTTAAAACAAGTATAAATTGTGCACAACTCTTGTGCAGATAAATCGCATTTTTTTAACCGAAATAGCTTTTGTTTTGATATCACCAATGGATATATTTCTTGCAGATGTCTCAATCGCCCTTTGTGAGTACCCTCTTCCGACAATCCGTTCTTGAGGTAAAAGGGAATATACCCGATCACGATAAGAGGTCGAGGAGGAGAGCTATGGTTGGTAGAAATTAATTCATTTGTTGAGACCTTTCATTAGAGTACCATGAAGGATAAAACTGGTTCCACTCCCCCCCCCCCCCTCTTTCCCCCCACTCCCTACTTTGGTAAGAGGACAGAAAGAAGGGCAGTAGATGGTTGAAAACGGTTCCTTTCGTTGAGACCTTTATTTAGAATACAATGAGAGATAAGATTATTTTAACCCCCTCTCGTCCCCCCCCGCCCCAGCTGCCAGTTCGCATGATTCTTTCTCACGGAAAAGTTTCTAAAGTGCCGTCTTTACAATTTTTCTTCCCTCTTTCTTTTAGTTTTACTTCCTCAAGTGTTTAGAAATGTGCCCCCCCCCCCCCATTTCTAAAGTTAACTTAGCACCACAAAAGCATGCGTATGCAAAATTCTGAGACCAATTGGTGTCCGTATTATGTATGTATGTATGTATGCTTTATTGGTGATTTATACTTACAAGTATTTTCACACGTCATTTTTTCACAGACATAATTGACCATAAATTATCTACCAATACAATATAAATTTAAAACCTATTTTCTTAGACAAGATGACAATTAGGTAAAATGACAAAGGACAAAATAAATATACATTTAGACAACAAAATCGCAACATCTTCACAAACAGAGCTAGCAATCTAAGTCATTGAAACTATTGTTCAAAAATTAGTAGTGAGTAGAATGCTCGACGTTTTAAATATTCCTTTACACTAGCTTTGAATGATAGTGAATCTAAGTTTTTAGTTTTCGTGGGTAATGCATTATTAAACTTCATCCCATAATATGATACGCCATCCTTTGTTTTATTGAGCCTATGAAAAGTTATGTAAATGTGTTCTTTGTTCCTTGTGTTATAACTATGCAAATCCTGTTTTACAGTTTGTGAAACTATGTTCTCTTTAATATAGAGTAGGCATTGAAGTATATATGTACAAGGGAGTGTCAAGATACCTAGCTCAACAAATCCACTCCTACAGCACTCTCTGTACTTGATATTTTTTATTATTCGGATACACTTCCGTTGTAAGGCAAATAAAGTATTTGCATGTTTCGAATGGCCCCATGCAAGAATTGCATATGATAAAATTGAATGAAAAATGCCATAATAGGCTGTAATTACAGTTTCCATTGAAGCAACTCTTTTAAGATTCCTGATAACAAATATAGCTTTAGATAATTTAGCACTTTGAATAGCTACATGTCTGTTCCAAGTCAGATGTGGATCTAACGTTACTCCCAATATCCTAAAATCTGAATTTTGATTGATAATTTTTTGTTTCCTTAGCGTCAGTGTCATGGTTTGTGTCTTTGATGCATTTAAAGATAATCTGTTTGATTTTACCCATTTATCAACTCTTCCTATAGCTAACTTCATGCACTCATTGATTTCTTCTTCACTATCACATTGTTTAATAAGAGAAGTGTCATCAGCAAACATAATGTGGTCGGTGTATAGGTCACAATGGGGAAGATAATTAATATATATAAGGAACAAGATGGGCCCCAAAACAGATCCATGTGGCACACCGTGCTTTAATTGTGACAATTTTGAAACACCATTATCGTAAATTACATACTGTTGTCTATTTGATAAATAAGAGTGGATTAACTGTGCACTTTTGTTTCCAAAACCATAATTTCTTAGTTTATCGATTAAGATTTTATGTGATACGCAGTCAAATGCTTTGGTAAAATCAAGACCTGCTAAACTAATGTATTTTTTATTTTCAAATCCTTTCATAACTGTTCTTGCTAAATTACTCACAGCCAGAGCAGTAGACTTCCCTTTTCTAAACCCAAATTGCGATTGACTAATTATATGATGATCCTCGAAATAAGTTTCCATTTGAAGTTTTAAAACAGATTCAAAAATTTTGCTAAACACGGGCGTCAAAGAAATAGCTCTATAGTTATAGGGATCAGACAAGCAACCTTTTTTAAAAATTGGTACTACTTTAGAAATTTTTAATACGGAAGGAAACGTACCACTCGCAATACATTTATTAATTAACTTTGTCAATGGATATAGTATAACATCCTTCATTGACTTCACAATTTTTACAGTAATGTCATAAGGATCTTTGCTACAGCTATTTCTTAGTCGATCGATACACTCCCTAATTGTACTAAAGCCCACTTCTTTAAAGCTAAAGGTAAAATGGCTCAATTCCATAAAATCTAAAGGATCTATATCATGATCTATTGGAATATTGTTAACAATGTTATCAATTGAGTCAATGAAATAGTCATTAAAAATGTTACAATTCAGTTCAGCGCGTGGTTCAAATTTTGCTGTGTTCTTGCCTTTAATGATTTGCCACCTTTGCTACCTTATTTTTAGAGTTTTTTATGAATTTATCATTTGTCATCTTTTTCGCTTTTGATAATTCATTTTTGTATCTCAATTTCACATTTCTGAGCATCTCCTTTGTGACTAGAGATGAATTAGATTTAAGCATATCACTACAGAGTTGCAGTGTTGAACGTAGTTGCTTTAAGCTATCAGTAAACCAGTTTACTTCCCTGGAAGTAGAAGTTGCAAGCCTACACTTTAGAGGAAAAGTGGTAACAATAGTCTCTGAGAAAAGTTTTACAAACATATCGAATTTAGTCTCGGAATCAATTCGTTCGTCACTGATAAACTCCCAATTGACATATTCTAATATATTATACATGCAAAATAATCCAATGTTGGTGATTGGTCTATATGTAATTCTACCATTATTTCCACTACAATCTTTATGGGAAGTGATGCCAAGGGTAAAACCAACAGCATTGTGAAGTTATGCACATTTTACTTTCAAAAACAGCATCTCAGGAAATAATTCGTGGGGGGACCTCCAATTTAGACAGCGAAATTTGATCGCCGTCTGGCGCACCTTCAAGTTA